TATATATATATATATATAGTATATATATATATATATAGTATATATATATATATATATATATATATATATATATATATATATATATATATATATATATTATATATATATATATATATTATATATATATATATATATATATATATATATATATATATATATATATGCGTGTATATATATAATTATATATATATATATATTATAAGTATCGTTGAATTCTTGTTGTTCTTGCATCAATTTATGAAAAGCAAAACGATGCGAGATTGCACTAAGTTGAAGATAATTTCTTGACTGCGACCTCATAAAAGATACTTGCACGTTCACGTAAATAGCAACCGTGCTGGTAACTTTTTTGCTGGTTAATTCTTGCCTCTGCATATCTTTAATCACATTCCACATTGACATCTTCGTTCTCAAGTTCTAACGATTCCCCGCTCAAATAGTAACATAGGATTTTACAAAACCTTCACGTTCAACATACATCTGGTTTCGTACAATTACGGCCATTGCGAGCCACTATAGTATTATTTGTTTTGCTCACTGGACACAATCTGGACTAATCTTGAACTCAATGCATTCCCGTCTCCGCAGTCGCCCGAATAAACTTATCGATAGTATCATGACATACACTCAATCGCAGAGTTTTGACAGACTGCAATCAACACGTACAAGTATACGTACGTGCACGCTTGAGTTTCATCTGTAACGTACTCTTGTATGTGTACATGATTAATTGTGGATGCAATCAGTATGCGAAATACATATACATCAACTTTTCCATCACACGCATAGTATTAATTAGAATTCGTCACGCATCACTAAGTTTTCCCTGTATCTGGCAAGGATTCGTCATGCATATGCATGCCCTCGTATGTATACATATAGTACTGACTACCACAACATTCCCTACCATTTGCAGAACTTACAACTACCAAGGAAGCTGGCTTGAATGGGCCGAACGGTTCAATCTGCCGACTTATTAGTGTGTATATATATATAATTAGCGGCATTTCATCAAACAACGATGATATGCAATTATATGAATATTTATTAGAGTGGAAATAAAACTTTCACAAAAACATACAATTTTACAAATCCATGTCGTGGTGAAACTGCACAATATCCGAGCTCCTCTGTTCAAATAACACTTCCGCTCGTTGAAGTCGTTCTTAATATAATTGCATGTATTTACATATCTTACATCTTGGATAGAACACATATACACTTGTTGAAGTCGTTCTTAATATAACTGCATGTATTTACATATCTTACATCTTGGATAGAACACATATCCGCTTGTTGACGTCATTCTAAATATTACTGCATGTATTTACATATCGTACATTTTGGATAGTACACCTATACGCTTGTTGAAGTCGTTCTTGATATAACTGCATGTAATTACATACCTCACATTTTGGATAATGTGTAAATAATTTGTTTTCTTTTCGTGGTCAGTAGATGTGCAAGTATTTTTTTATATACCACTCAGAAGTAGTCCACATTGAAAGTATATATGAAGCAGAATGCTGATGCGACTAATTGGTGAGATACTATGCCTGTAGCTGTGCGACGGATGATGAATCTGGACACACGATTGCCCACAAAATGTGCAGCAAAATTGGAATTGGTTAACGTAATAGAATCAATACGTCTCTTGAAATAAAAGGTCAATTCCTGCTATATTGGGTTCGTACGTGCCAATTCTTCATAAAGTGATTCATATCGTCCAACGGTCTGCTGAGTTGGACATTGCAGGCCAGATCGCGGCCACCTGCATCTGATTCAACACAGTTGAGTTGATAAATTCTTTGAGCCCAATTTCGTATATTTTCAACCGGCTTTATATGTCGTGACTGATACATATTTTATTTAGTCTGTAGTTTGTATCCCATATCATTAAATCAATCCTGATGCCAATGGACACCAGATTTACCTAGTAAGTTATCATTCGCAGCGCCTTCTGCTACCGCCGAACAATTTGCACTGCCATCAGAAGCAACTGAGTTGCGCCGGCTACTATATTCGGTGAATACCAGAGAATCCCTCTGCCTACGCATATCCTTATGTTTCATACATCGCTCGTACAACAAGTCGAACACTTTATCGTACACGTAGTCTTGATTCGCTGGCAAGTCTTCTTGGCCAACTCCATCCCCCCCCGCTCCCGCGCTACCATTTGTACGCAGGTATTTCTCACGATACTCATTGAGTAATCGTATGGCCAGCACAGGATCGGATTTATCATGTAGAGTAGTGAAGGCGCGCTCGAAACTCTCACACCGCACAACACTCTCTGCCGACGCAATCTCGAGATGTGCCACGAGCTCGTACACTCGGCACCAGCGTGGATTAACGCCTGGCAGCACCATGTCATCTACCGGTCTCGTGAGGAAATAGTCTTTAACCCGGTTCTGAGTGACATCGGATATCAAAATCGCCGTACCGTACCTTTTGTTGTTTTCTTCTAGCTTGGAGGCAAAGTCAACATTAGTACCAAGCGCCGTGTAGTTTAGACGTCTGTTGGATCCGATGTTGCCTACCACACTCTGTCCCGTATGTATTCCTATGCGCTGATAGAAAGGAGGCAGGCCAGCAACGGTCCACTTCGAGCGCAACAGAGCGAGTTTGGCCTGGCATAGAAGGGCAGCTTCACAGGCCAAACGTGCATGATCAACGACAATCTCAGGAGCATTCCAGATAGCAACTATACTGTCACCTATGTACTTGTCGACCACGCCCTTACAGTCGTGTACGATGTGTGACATGTCCATAAGATAATCCCCCAGAAGAATATCTAACTGGTCCACAGAAAGGCCCTCGCATATGCTGGTAAAATCTACCACATCCGTACAAAAACTTGTGATAATTCGATTCTGCCCCCCACGCTTTGCCTCCAATCCCGATTTCACCAAAAGTCGAACCACATCTGGCGGCACGTACTTCGAAAAAGATCTCAAGGATCTTCGCATCAGGGACATGACAGCGTAGATATTCGCTATTTCCTTTAGAGGCGAGTTGATTCCCGCCGAATCAATGGGGGTGGAGAAGTCGAGGTGTGAGAAATTCGTCAAGTTGCGCGTGCACTCGACTAGGGGCTTGGTCGCAATCTGGGCCACAATAGACGACACAACCAGAGAGCCAATGATGATGATTACGCCTAGAGAGACCGTGATGGTCAACACACGGGAGTAAAATGCGCCGTAATCCTCAAAGGGGATGACGACCGCAATGATGACAGCCAAATCCGACCCCGAATGAGTTCCGATACTCAGAATGTCCTTATTCGGCATGACGTAAATGTTCGATACATTAGAGGGGGGTACCGAAGTCGCATTGACGAAGGCTGCAATGGGTGGTTGACATGCAAACAGCTGAGCTGTATTGGGGTCCAGACAGTCAGAATCAGCCGGAAGTGCATTCGGACAATTTTGGGTGCTCGGCTCCAGGTCAACATGCGTCAAATAGCAAACACTCTCCTCCTCGCATAAGTCAATCAGAAAGCTTCCTACATTACTGATACGCTCGTTGTCATGGTCAACTACTCTATAACGTTCAAGTGTCGAATCGAGTCCGTTGCTGCAGTTGACTTCGCTAAAAAGCAGCGTTTCTGGATCCTCCATAGTAACAGCCACCATCTCTCCATTGCTTGGACTTATAATCATGGCGTAGCCATTCGAGCGCTCATTTTGGCGCAAAAAACCGGACCTCAGCTTGGACGACAGATATTCCAGAGTCATATCAGCGCCCACAACATACTTCACAGGAAGATCGAGTTCGAATGGAACACGAATCGCCACAGTCACGCCTAGTGCCGCATTGGCAGTAAAGCTGTACACACTCGACCAAAACGTGCCGAATTTCTCAGCTGCACCTAGAAACCAGGGTCTTGATGTAACAATGAAGCCGTCTACAACCCGTACTATGTTGGAGGTATTATATACGCTGCACTGTGGAGTTTCCAAGTCTATGCACGTCTCGTTCGGCCCGAATCGTATCAATGGATTGACCAGGCTGTCGTTCCGTACCCCTGACGCGATAGTGTCGTCGGAGATCAGAGAATTCTGAATGGCAACGCTTAGAACGTCGACAGAGGCATTGACAGCCGACGCTTGGGTATAAGTAGCGTAAAAGTATTCTTCGATACTACCAACAAATAAATTGTTAGTATGTACGGAATTGAGAAATCGGGTTTCATTCCACGAACGCCGCAAGGTATACGTGATTACATCCGCAGAACTCTGCGGGTCGATGTTGTCGTTATAAAAAGTCGACGCCGTGGTCCTAGTTAACAGCTCTGGTAGATACAGCTCTCCCTGAACATCGTTGGCTAATCTCAACCATATCCGACTGGCAACAACTTTGTAACTATTCTCCAAACCGTCCATAGTAACGTTATACATGACAGCCGCCGTCACAACCACAATACACAACACAGAGCACAAGGACAGCAGCACCAGAAACATCCGCAAGGACATTAATTTGTGGAAATAGGACCGATTGCCCTCTTGCTCCGCACTCTTCCTGCGTTGTTGCAGCGCTGTGTTGTCGTTGATGTGCATCATCTGCGTCAGCTGATGGGTCTTCGCTAAACGCCTGGACTTGAGGATGCGTTCCAGCACCTCTACATACACGGTTGACACCGGGGCGAGCTCGATCCACATCTCCCTGGGCGTGATATTCCTCAGTGGTATAGATACCCCACCCACAACAGAATCTCCCTGCAGCAGCACCACCACCAGAGTAGTGGTGCTCACCAGCATGCGATCCAGCTCGTCTACCACACCTAGGTCGTTCACAATATGGACCGAGTTCTCCGTGCTGGACGTGGGCATGATTTGGCGAGGGACAGGCGCTTTCCCGCCCGAACGAGCACCCGATAACAATGGCGATGAGTTGGATCTCTCCCCGCTCTGTGAGAGCGACAACGAGTGAGAGTGGTTTGTATGATCGCTGCCGCTAGTGTCTTTACTCTGCACGCGCTTCAGGCCACCCCGGACACGTGAACCACGAGTGTATTTGTGTGTGTCCACGTACAGCTGCTCATCCCAGGCCGGATTATACACTCGCGCGCCGCGGTCAACAGATTTGGCGCGCAGTGCGTGCTTAATACCCCATTGCGAATGTACACGAGCGGATCCTTCCCCCACAACCTCTTCTGACTGCCCTCTCGTATCATCCACGCTCGCTACGCTGATTGGAATACGCGCCGTACTGTGTCTTCTTACCGGTGGTACGTGATCGTACGATGAACCCGGGCGCCGGCCGTCAATTGATCCGACAGATGACGTGGCTTTTAAGGTATTGGAGGGTTTAACGCCCATCATGCGCTTGAAACTGCCTACATCTTCTCCGGTGGCAATAGCCTCCACGAAGGCTGCTACACTTGCATAGTCCCCGATCACATCACTGCATTCGCTAGTCTGTTTGCTTCCAAATGGGCTAGCCAGAGGTAACATCCCCCAACTTGGCGTGGCATTGCCCACAGTTTCGAGGTAATCCAGAGGTTTTTGGGCGTCTACAACCGTCGTAGATGTATTCGCATTTCCAGCAGTTGTAGAGCCATCAGAATGATCCAGAAAAACATAGACCGAGAATGCACTCCTACCCAGCCCTCTGATTTCCGTATCTATCGGTGTGTTCTGGGTTGAGTTGCACGGCAACTGCGCGTCGTTCGCCAAGCGTGTGCCAGAATTAGCTGTCTGTGTTTGCGTGTAAGCTTCAGGGGAGCTAGATCTTCGCATTTTAGTATTGCTTGTCCATCTCTTGGCAAGCAAGCGACTGTCCAGTCGCGTATGCTCCCCTTCAAAGTTATGTTTCCCAACGGATATACCGGCCTTATTTAATGGTGTGGAATTGTCCGGTATATCAAAAGGAAAGCAACCGGAAGTGATGCCTATATGTCTATGTAGTCTGGCCTGCGCTGCAGGTGAATGGGAGTGTATACGAGTAGCTTGTAATCCAAGCGTCCGCGCCGTGTCGCGTGCATGACGATCATCGGCCTTCGAGTGCTTTGCTAAGCCATTCGCTCCGCGTGCAACCACGGGGGTCAAAATGCAACCGGTAGACTCGGCTTTCTGTAGTTGTTGTATCCGTCCACCATCAGAGCGGTCTGAACGAGCCTGACTATACGAAGGTGTGTGTATCGAGTTTGTGTCTGCGTCCATTGAATACACTATATCGGCACTTGTCGCTTGACGTATTGCGTGACCACGTAGTCTTTCTGTGTCTTCATGAGCACTACATACACTGCCATAGACTGATCCACAACAATTTCCCGAATGGCATCCCTTACAGCACTTCTCAGTGCAATGAGAGCCTTCTGTTACACCACTGTCTGTATCTGCACCGACATCCACATTATTATACAGCGATAACCTGCGCGTGAATGGAAGAGATTGTCTAGCGTGCTGCGCTGTGCTCTGCGAACTACTCTGCGAATGGGTTCGAGCTCGGTTTAATTCGTCAGGTGCTAAAGTTTCTTCAGAGAAAGCATCGTTGTGATTAATATCAGTTGTTGTCTCGCCTGCTTTCGCACTCACGCCAATTGAAAGGACATCGAGGTCCTCTTTTGACGACCCCTCGTCGATGTTAATCAAGCTCGGCAGTTCGGTAGTACTACCGTACCTAGTTTGTCGTCTGTGGCCGCCACCCGAATTTCTTCTCACTGCACTTTGCTGAATAGGTATGTCCACATCCTGCGCTATGATAGCACTAGGAGGGGCCGTGATTCCGGAAGTGAGTGGTTGAGCGATTCCACCCGCGACTGTATAAATGCACCCTTCATCAGGGACTACAGCTGATCGTCGTAACCAATTTGATGTTTCAGACAAATCAGTCGGTGTGTTAGCTGGTAACATACATTTGCTGTTAGACTCTTCAGCCTCAACTGGCGATCGAGGCGAGGGTACCTTTATGGAGTGGAGGTCGCTTAACCTGGACACATCCTTGTCTGTAGCTTTCGCTAGAGGTGTTTTATACAAAGCACACGAATTTGCGCGCCTGATAGCATCCACCCCACCTTCATTTCGGGTCGATGTGTCATTAGTTTCTTGTTCAGAAGGTTTCTGTTCCCCATCAACGGTGTACGTGTGTTGAGGAACCACTTCTGCTAACACTGCTTCGAGCACTTTGATGCCCTGGTTGGAGTGACCGGTCGCACCGAATTCCAACTTAATATAACCACCGAGGAGCTCTCTGACTTGTATTTCAGGCTGAGAAGCGCTACCATTCGATCCACTGACACCCCCAGAAGACAATGACAAGCTTGTGACCTTCTTTGAGAGCCAGCGAACTCCATCTCTTTTCTTGTGTGGCATTATAATATAGGCGTGTGTGCAGCTTATACGAACGCATTATTCTATTCTCTATCAGACAGCCAGTATCTTTTATCGCGGGCTCTCCATAAGCCATTTATATGCTACATCACACTATTTAGCTGCCGTTCCTGACCGCAGCGTCATGGCATGACTGCAGATATAGCTATTGTATATGGACGTATGTATGTAATACAGTGTAGTGCATTTGTATGTACTTTCAAAATAATAATAAAATACCTGTGTTCCTGAACTTACTGGTGGCTGCTTCCACCCCTCTATAACTTCCAAGATGCATGACGAATCACTTTTCTTTGGTTTGGGTTTTTTTTACAAACCAAAAACCAAAACCAAAAAAATAAAATCGATCTGGCGTGTTTCAAATTTAGTAGGCGATCAGATGGATCTGGTCAGCAATCAATACGAGTCCACATAAAAACTAAAAATATAAAATTTCTGGGCGGGACTATTAAAAAGTGTAATAACACATTAAAAAACATATTCATAAAATTGCAATAACGTTCAACGTTTATAGGCTTACCGCTAACGGTATGCGACGTCATTGTGGTGGACAGACAAATTATGTGAATAAGGCTTAATCTGAAAAGTCAGCTCCTAAAATAACGTTGCTATCGAAATTTTATCCCGCTCGCTTTTTTCGGGACGATGTGAGGACAAGGGAGATCAAATCCGTCGAGAAATCCAGATTTGAGCCAATATTTCCATATAGTATGTATATAGTGAAGTAAAAAGGGTACTGGATTTACACTGTACAGTCGGAAGACCGCAGTTCTTGGTTGTGTGCACCACGGGGTGATATCACGTTAAAAACTTATTTTAATAAAATAGAATTCCAATTCCAGTTTCCCGTTAACGGTATTTGACGTCATTGTGATGTGATGGACAGTGATGGTCAGACAAATTATTCCCAAACAATGAGTCTTACAACGCCTTCTGCTAAACTTCTAACGCAAAAACGACCCATATTTTTTGATTCATCAAATAAAATAATGAAGGGACTTTTTGTTTTTGCTTTTTGTTTTATAAAAAACAAACAGCAAAATATACATATAAATAGGTACAAATGTACAGTATTTGTTCCAGGACATAAAAACGTTAAATCGCTTTTAATAATCCAAAAAATAGACCTTTATGTAGAGCATTTGGGATTTTTTTAAATAAAGTGAATTTAAAAAACTTATCGACGTTAACGGTCTGCCTCCTGGGCCAACCCCAATCTGTTAAAGGAGTCCATTTTAACGTTGAGCGTGAACGCTGATTTCGACAATATATAAATATACTTTTGTCGTTTTAAAAAAAAGAGAAAAAGATACGGGTTTGTAGACAAAACATTTTTATTATTATAAAACATTATCCAAAAATAAAGGTATTTTTAAAAAACATAAAAAGGCTAGAGATTATTTATTTTTAAAAAACAAAAATACTAAATTTCAACCATCGGGCATATTTAGGCCATATATAATAAATGATAAGGATTTTTAAAACGTATATATTCAAAACAAAATTTATCCGTTGCCGTACATTTTTTTCTGTGTTAGAAAACAAAATATTACATATTTATCATAGAGTTTACAGAGTCTATAAAGTTCTATAAATATATTTGTCGTCATTTTTACTGTCATTCCTATTATTAAAAAAATTGTAGAGCAGAGTGACCTAAAACCTCACTGTCCACACATCATCAGTCCAATTTAAATCGGGGTAAAAATATTGATCTGAATTTTGACCTGAGACCATTTCGAGATGAAATTTTTATGTACCTGCTAGTTAAAAAAAGGGGGGGTTTTACCGATCTAAGCATTTCCTGCTATTTATAGGTATTTAAAAAATAAATTGTAATGTCAACCATGTTTACCTCCGATTTAAAACAATGTTGGTGTTGTAAGTACCGAACTGTTCGGTAATGTTCCTTGGCGTTAATAAGAATACGAGAACTTCTAAGTGTGGGCGATAACTGATACGTGTGGAAATTTCGGCGTTAATAAGAATACGAGAACTTCTAAGTGTGGGCGATAACTGATAAGTGTGGAAATTTCTAAGTTGTATTGTGCGGTTTGTTGGCGAACGGCCGAGCAGGCTCCAAAGAAGAGGAGGTTGGTGTATGATTGGTGCTTTGCAAACCGAAGTGCGGTGAAATATGAGCTGGAGGTTGGCAGATGACGATATATGTTGAATGGGCTTGTAAGCTCGAAATTGAGAAGATACACGATTTGATAGGCAGCAGGATTCTCAAGGAAATCCTTCGGAGATAGTATAAATACGTGGGTTAGTTCATTCAAGAAGTTCATTCTGCTAAGGTAGACGTTTATTCAACAATCGAGGAAATAAATCTAAGTTTACCGTTACATTGTGTTTTAAGTCGATCTAAGATTACAAATTAGCGTTAGTGGAAAATGGTTGACGAGAAGGATAATCCAGCTGATACTGGGCAATCTCTCTGGAGATATGTGAGAGGGGAGCCGATGACGACACTTATGGATCGAGGGGATTACGTCAGGGGTACCAAGGCTTATGAGTTTTAGGCGAAGAAAGAAGGGTCCCGCCCAGCGATGGCTCTTGTAAATGAGGTTACCCTGGAGACGAAGTCGGAACTAGAGGGCTATATCAGCAATACTGTTATTGAGACGAAGGATCTGTACATCACGGCTGCAGCATTGTATCCAGCGTTTAAGGACCCATTTGGAGTGAGTGGAACCCAGGTGGATTTTGCGAAGGCAATAGGAGGGTGGGGATTCAAGCCTGAAAAGGTTATTGAGCATCTTCGTGAGATTTATTACTATGGTGCGAAAGCTGAAGCAAAGAAAGTGCTCCCAGAATGGTATCCATCTACTGAGGTGCCTTCTGAGGACGACCAGAGCAAACGTGAGACTGAGGAGGAAGTCGCTAAGGACAGTGACAGCTATGACAGCAGGGAAAGTAGCGACAGTGAGGATGAGGATGCTAAGAGGAAGAAAATAGTGCCTGCAGTGAAGGCTGCTACAGTAGGGAAGAAGGCTGATGTATCAGACAAGACAAGGGCAGCAGCTAAGTTGAAGATAGCGGCTAGGAAGCAACGGCGTGACTATGATGCTTTGTGCAAGGTGATTCTTAGGAATGCTAAAAAGGCGAATCAGCATGGGGCACGCTGGATGGTTCCTATGCTGAGGGATGATGACTATGTGCATATGCTACTTAAATTGGCAAATGATGTGAGCTCTAAGGATGTAGTGATGGAGGGTTTAAAAGGATTGACTGAACGGTGTATAAGTCTGTTGAAAACCTTATTTGCGAGTCGCAAATCGGAAAAGAACATGGTTCTAAGAATGTTTGAGGCAGGAGGGTTGGGGCAGGTGCTGAAGTAATTGTCTGAGATGAGAGAAGACGACATAGCGCGTCAAGAAGAGAGGAGGGACCAAGCGGGCTAGAGACATCAGGCGAGGGTAGCCGCGAGAGCAGGACATTTGCAAGCAGCAGCAGCTAGATAGAAGTCCAGGGTTTCAGGGATGACAGGTCTGAGAGGGGCGTGCTTGTTTTGCAAGCAGGATGGTCACTATGTGAAAGAGTGTCGTGTGTTGAAAGGCGTGGTGTGTCATACGTGTAGCAAGAGAGGTCATACTGCGAGATTCTGTCCTACAACACGATTCAGGGTAATGTATTGGCAGTAGCGTCTGAGGAGGTGCGTATGAAAGCAGATGGGACACCTGAATTGTGACATGCGGCAGCGGTTAGTTATGAAGGACCAGGCCAACCGTTGATCTATAGTTATGTGGAGAGTGAACAGTGTTATGTCGATATGTTTGTTGATCAAGGCGCCGATATGTTTGTTGATCAAGGCGCCGATATGTCGATGATTTCTAAGGGTTTGGCAGAGCGTCTGGGGCTGGCTGCTCAGTATGATTTCTGGGGAGAGTGGGTTACGGGATTTGGTGCTCCGCTTTATGTGGAATACAAGGTGCGAGATGTTGAGGTTGTTTTGCCTACTTTAATAGGAAAAAGGTGGGTTAAGTTGGATATGTGGGTTATGGATTGGATTCCACACAATGCGGGTATGTTGTTAGGTAGACGTGAATTGAACGGGTATGGATTAACTGGGGCAGTACTCACTAGGTAAGGGGTGACTAAGTATACACTGCTTCCGGCTGAGGTGGTAAGAGAGAAGCCATCAAATTTTAAGAACTGGTTGAACAAAGAGACGTCTGAGCCGGTGTTAGATTATATTCAGCATATGGCGGCGCCGTTATTATATCAGCGAGCAGAACAGGTAACACCCATTTGATAGTATGCAAGATGATGGGGGTTATGATTCAGTTTATGAAAGTGATGGATCCGGGGGTGAGGACGATTATCTAATGTTCGATACAAGTGGCTTGGAACTGTTGGCTGAAGAACTGGGGAAGTCTACGGAAGAATTGGCAGAGTTGGTGGCGGCAATAGGAGGGTGGCGTACAATGACAAGAAACCGAAGTTTGTGAAGGATCGGATGCTTAAGCTTCAGATCAAAGAAGGAAGGGCGCCTTTGGGACAAGTATATGCGGAGAAAGATGTGCGGCTTATAGAAGTGATGAAGAAGAAGGTGCAACTATTGCTTGAAGCTGGGTTGATAGAGAGGGTGCAAGGTACGGATTGGCTTACAGTGCCGAAACTTGTGCCTAAAGTTCCGGGTAGTAATCCCAGTTATGAGAAACCCAAGGATTGGAGGATGTGCATACTAAACCCCTAAACCCTAAAAACCCCAAAAACCCTATACCCTATACCTTAAAACGTACGAATTATCAGCTAAATTCGAGTACATTACCGATACTAACAGAAGATGAATTTCTGGCAACAGTTAGGGAGCGCAAGTGGAGAACCAATGTGGATGCTGGAAATGGTTTCGGGCAGTTAATGATAGAGCCTGGTAGTCGAGGGGTTATTGTATTTTTGACGCCCTGGGGAGAGAGATTCCAATTTATTGGGATGCCGTTTGGTTTGAAGGAAGCATCATTTGTGTTCTAACAACTAATGGATGAGACATTGGAGGAAATTAAAGGAATCAAGACATACATTGATGATACCGCGTTAGGTTCGGATGATCCAGCTGAGCATTGGGATGGTATTGTGGAGATGATCAGACGCTTTAAGGCGAAATGAATACAGTTGCGGCTGTCAAAATGATTTCGCGTATTGAGAAGATTCTATAGTCGTGATGGGTCGAGAGGTTACAGAT